GTTAAATCTGAAAAAGAAATTCACGAACTAAAAATGTTTCTATTTTCAACACTTGAGATACTAGGGATGCAAATAATTCTAGGAACTATAATCAGTTTCCTGGAAGATAGTTTGCACGAGGACATGGATAGAACAGAAAACAATTTCACAGCTCTCCATTCTGCATTCATCTTTTCACGTTTTCATATTTTCATCTTTTCATATTTTCATATTTTCATATTTTTATATTTTCATATTTTCATATTTTCATATCAAAATCGTCGTCATTGCTCTTGATCGTCTGATAGAAAATATTGATATATAAACAAGGAATTTTGATAACATATAACTATCTAAACTTAATTATATTTTCCAGCTTTCATTAAGGCCTATATACGCTGTAGAACCTACAGCTAGCAGCTGGTGTTATGGTTTAATGTTTAGTTTTATTAATTAGATTAAACTCTTATCCATTAAATATTTCCAGTATAATTAGTAGGGAACCTAATTTTCAACCATCGATAAACAGTTTATAGATAATATCGTCTGATTCTGCATGTGTACTGTGTAGTTTAAACAGTTTATAGATAATATCGTCTGATTCTGCATGTGTACTGTGTAGTTTAAAAAAGTAAGAGCACTATTTAATCAATTATTTGTATATTTTATTATAAATTAGTTTGTATCACGTGATCTTTTTGTTCTATGATCAATAAAAATCAAATAGACTGTAGACGTAATTTAATATGGTACTTTTAGTAGATTTGTATTTCCAAGAATGTAAGAGATATCTCTGTTTTAAACTTTAAAAATTGATTGTTTTTTTTTCACCGAAACTTGCGTATTTCCGCAACAGAAATAGTAGAATGGAATTAGAAATAGCTAAGCCCTGGATGTTTAACATCCCTGTAAAGTAGTTGTTAATAATTATTGCTTTCTCTTTTTCAGTTTATTTTGTTTTTTGTGCACTTAAATGATTATTGAAGAATTAGAATTTTGCATTCTCCCCCGTCCTCTGGACCTACCTTCAGTCCTCTGAACCTACCTTCCGTCCTCTGTACCTACCTTCCGTACTCTGAACCTACCTTCCGTCCTCTGGACCTACCTTCCGTCCTCTGAACCTACCTTCCGTCCTCTGGACCTACCTTCCGTCCTCTGCTCTGAACCTACCTTCCGTCCTCTGGACCTACCTTCCGTCCTCTGAACCTACCTTCCGTCCTCTGGACCTACCTTCCGTCCTCTGCACCAACCTTCTGTCCTCTGGCCCTACTCCCCGTCCTCTGGACCTACCTTCCGTCCTCTGGCCCTACCCCTGTGCCGCCCTCTGGCCCTACTTCCCACACTCCCCCCAAAAATGATTTGCCCCCGCTATTAACGTTTAAATAAAAATTGTGTTTGTTTACAATAGAAAAGGTTAATTAACGTTGAGTAAAAAATGTAAGATGGAGAAATTGACATTTGTTTGATTTTCGTGCCCATGCATTTAATGTATTTGCAGATTTGTAATTATTTTAAGACCTTGTGCATTTTATGCAGAATGTATTTTATGTGTATTTATATTTGTTTACCAATGTTAAACAACTAATTGTATTGTATGTATGGGTTTTTTTTTAAACACCTATGTAAACAATTATACTCTAAGTTGCATCCTTAAAACTGGAGTTCAAAATTTACTTGAACGTAGACTGTAGCCGGATAATAAACCTTCATTTTAAACATGTCTTTAAATACTTTAAAGGAGCGCACCAAAACATTACTTTAAATAAAAGCATGTCTAAGACTATGATAGAACATTTAATATCTGAACTAGAGCTTGCTTTAAGTTCACTGAAAGTTCACAACATAAACATTACATGTCAAAAATGTGAAGGATTTGAATCATGTTTAAGCCATTGTCTTAAGAAGAAACTTCAAACTAAAGAAACCTTTTAGTGAATTCTGGATGAAAAACTTAATTCATTTCGAAGATCATATTATATATGGGGGAATATCTAATTAGCATTATAGAATGCTGTAGAACTACATAAGGTAGAAATAGGAGATTTATACGCACTTATACGAATCCCAGAATGCACTAATACTGGGGACGCAAATTGAGGACACACATTTAGGATGTACACAAAAAGAGAAGGCACAAATCAGGAGTACAAAATGCATCTTATACATAAACCCTTACACACTCTTCTTAATCTATTGGTTAGATTAGGTTAAGTCTGGTAGATGGAGTGGGATGGAGGTTTGGGAGTTAACTATTAAATGTTTTCATAAAAAAAATACACAATAACTAGTTTGGATTCCCTTATGAGGTCGGTTTCAGTTCCCTTGGCATCGAATAAAAATATGTTTAAAGTAGTATTCTCTGTTTTGTTTGTATGTCCGATCATAACTTATTAACTCCTTGGCCTATTTGCTTTAAATTTAGATTGGGAACTTGATGGAAATGTTCTTACCTTGGTTTTTGAGTAGGTCGACTTTTATAGGAAAAACTTAGTTTCCAGGCAAAGCTGGATTTCCAAGCTAGTTGTCGGACTAACGTATATTCGCCACTAACGTTCATTCGCAGTAACGTTCATTCGGACTAACGTTTATTTGAGGGTTAGGTTAGGTTAAGACAATTTCTGGGCCGAGCACTGCGGCTAGGACAGGCTAGGGGGCCGAGCGCCCCGGCTAGGACAGGCTAGGGGGCCGGGCGCTGCGGCCACAAGTGTTACTGATCAGCTGACTTTAGTGCAAAAGTACGTTAGTTCAATCGGACATTAGTGCAAACGATATAGCATCAAAGTATATATATCTTTATAGTAAAATATATATATATTAAAATCCTAATATATGTTTAAATGTTTTAATTTGAAGTTGATTCTTATATATATATATTTATATGTTCCAAACAAGAGTATATCATCAGTGAGGAAATACACTTGAAGAGGGGGAGGGGGCAGTGTAATCTGTTTTCTCGACTTGAAAGGGCAATGCTGCAAAACAGGACCTGGTTTGAACTCTGACGCAAGGCGTACACACGTGACGCCGTGTTGATGAGCTAACAAAGTGGGTGACGCGGCGTAATTTGCAATGCGTACACCTGATCTGAATACATAATATGGTGCTTGCATCTTAAACTGTCTTCCTTTATAAAAGGTGACCTCCATCATGCTTTCAGACATGGGTCTTCTTATCTTTAAAGGAAGAGTTTGCGAATTTGAAATGTGATACATATTTGAAATATTATGATTTTTCCTGGATTATATTTATCATATAAAGAAGGAAAGGTTGGGTTAGTTTAAACATAAAAATTGTTAATTCAGATTTAAAGGTCTTTGTAGTTAGCTGGTTAACTTAAATATTTCGTAGTAAAATCATTATTTTCAAAATATAATTCAAGCACATAGCTGAGCCAGCCTTCCGCAAAGCAAATTACAAGGTAATAAGTCATTGCCACAAACTCTGGTTTTTAATCCCTATATCTTTGCAACCCATTATCGTAGACCTAAGATATTTCAAACTATGAATTCTGTTAGATCAGATAATATTGAAATATCAAGATTTACATCTTCAGGTTGCAAAAGAAATTGAGATAAAAAAATTTGAGTTTGTGGCCTTAGTCGTTCTCTCCCTTTAAGCCTGTCTAAAAACTCATGTCTATTGTATTTGTGAATAGAATGCTAAGTAATGATTCATGTCTAAATTATATTTCGTAAAATGTTCGCTAGAGTAAAGGGTTACCCACAAAATATGAGATTATTAGACGACTTGAAACTGAGGGGGTTGATTTCGGTCTATTGTATTATTGCACAAAATCTTGTCAAAAATATTAGATGCTGTTAAACAAATAAGTTATGAATTGGTAAAATTGTTACGTATTTCTCTGAAGTCTCATTGTTTGTTAAAACCCTTGATTAAAAAAATAAAAAAACGATTTTCTGTTTTTCAAATTGTCTCGTCTATTATTATTTCTATATCGGAGATGTGTCAGTATGTGTGTTTTATACATAGTTAATTGTAACAGTGTTTGCAACATGTAAAACTTATTTAAAATTTTATTTGCAAGCATAAAGAACATAAATATTAAACATACACAGAAATGCACACTATAACACAAATATTCTAAACCCCTGCATCCACATTACACACAACTCGACGTTGCAAATACTCACATAAAGAACGAAAACATACACAAAAGAGCAGAAAATTACACAAACTGGACACTCTATAAACCCTATTGTTCTGGTATTATATATTAAATTCTATGTTTAAAAATTGAGATAAACAAATTATTTGGTATAAAATTTCGTAAGAAAAGTCTGCTTTAAAAAAAAGTAAATTTAGTTATTATTTCCCCCTGTCGGGGGGCAGAGGGCAGGGTGCAGGGTCTAGAGAACTCAGAAGGAAACAAAATGGAGGAGCGTGGGAGTAGTAATTTTAGAGGAGAAGGCCAACTCAAGGGGCATAGGCATAAGTAGACAAGGGTCAGCTACAGGGGAACAGGAGTAGGAAGACAAGGGTCAGCTACAGGGGCACAGGAGTAGGGAGACAAGGGTTATCTACAGGGGCACAGAAGTAGGTAGACTAGTATCAGCTACGGAGGCACAGGAGTAGGTAGACAAAAGTCTACAGGGGCGCAGGAGTAGGTAGACAAAAGTCTACAGGGGCACAGGAGTAGGTAGACAAAAGTCTACAGGGGCACAGGAGTAGGTAGACAAAAGTCTACAGGGGCTTATCTACAGGGGCACAGAAGTAGGTAGACTAGTATCAGCTACGGAGGCACAGGAGTAGGTAGACAAAAGTCTACAGGGGCACAGGAGTAGGTAGACAAAAGTCTACAGGGGCACAGGAGTAGGTAGACAAAAGTCTACAGGGGCATAGGAATAGGGAGACAAGGGTCAGCTACAAGGGCACAAACATGAGGACATAGGAGTTAGCTTCAGCTTACGATACCGCTTTCAGTATTGCTTTTCTTTTTCTCAGAAATAAATTTACCAATTTTCAAGATTTGCTCACGCTCAGACAATAAAATATAATTTTATTCTGAATATTTATTTCTGACTTTTATCATTCATTGTCCGCTGAAAGACAGTTTTATTTCTGTACATAATACATTTATCATACTGTTTTGGACATGCTAAATTGATTTTACCCTAAGGTATAAAATTGGTAACAAATCTTAGAAACGATGTCTCTGGAAGAACTTTTAGTAGAATGTTGGCAGATTTGAGCTTGATTTACTTGATTCCACCAGGTCACTGTAGCAAATGTTTTTTTTTCAAGCACATTCTCTTTTTTAGTCCAGTCTAAACAAGGGTATCTAGAGAGAATTGATCCTCTCCGGTACTATTAAGAGAACTTAAACCAGTATCCGAGTTACAATCCTCATCCTTAAACTCAGGTTTAATTAGAACTCGTTTAGGAGGTAGGGGGGGCAGAGGAGACACTGACTTTACTAGTGACGGTTCAGGGGACACTAGAGAATGAATATCACTGGATATACCGGATGAGGTGGATCCGGTGGATGAGGACCGGGTCGGGTCCGTGCTCCGGGTTGGATGGACTTGGTCCGGGAGAAGGATATTTGACTGGTTGGGACTTGACTCCGAGCTTGTTGTAATCTCCAGTCCCAGCTCGGAGTCGGAATCAAACTCGTTTAAATCCTTCCTAAGCCAATCCAACATCTGCTGGGAGGCGAAGGCGGATGGAGGAAGGGATTGAATCCAATCAAACTCTCGTTGAAGTTGTTCTCCTTCACTCTCAGCTCTCTCTAAATCCATCTCAAGGTTACTGATGTAGATCCCTGAAATAAATATGTATAATACTAATTCCAGAGTTAAGACAAGATATTGACTACTTTAAAATATGGATTTTATAGATTATTCCTAGATAAATCAAATGCTCACAAAAGAAAGGCGTATGTGCAGCAAAAACAATAAAATTACATACGAATGAAAATGAAAATAAGTGTAACTATAGAATCGACATTTAAAAAATTTAATAAATTTAGAAAACATTTGTTTAAATTCAAATGATCTACATCAACAGATATACATATGAGCTACAAAACCTTTTAAAAATCTCAAGTTTTTTTGATTTACGGAATAATATTTGTTGATTTGTGTTCACCTCCTGCACTGCACCTCTCCTCAATCTGTTCTATCTCCTGGTTAACCTTGTTCTGCTCCAGTATACTGGAGCTCACAGACTGAAGCAGGGACTGGAGCTCATGTCTGGACAGGAACAGTTCCTTCTCCAGGGCAGCTAGAGGCAGGCGGAGAAGTTCTTCAAGCTCCGGCACCGAAGCAGCTGGTGCGCCTCGGGACATCTGTCGTTTAGTTTTCTGACAAAGTTTGTTTATCTCCTCTTCTCTTCTCTCTATATCGGAGTTAAGACGGGAAATCTTCTCCAAGTAAATGCTCAGTTCCTGGAAAAAGATTTATTTATTTAACGATACCTACTTGTGCCGCGTTAATCTTTTTTTTAAGAATTTATTTTTTAAAACAAAATGTTTACCTTAACGCTTTCTAATGGAAGTTCTAAACTTGACGAGCTTTTTTCTCCGTCTTTTGTTCTTAAATCGTCCAGGAATGCTGGTTTCGGTCGTCGAGACGATTTAGGAGATTCTTGAAGTCCGGCGGGTAGCTGATCTAGGTACGTCTGAAGGACGTAGTCTTTACCAGACTCCTAGAACATTCATATTTTCAATATTTTAAAGAATAAAAACGATGAAAAATGACAAAAGATTAACTTTGTAACGATATTAAAGTAAACGAAATATATTTCATTCCAATTTCATTGATTTCTAAAATAACTGAATTGTTTTTTAGTTTTAATCTTGATATTTTTATAATAAAAAAGAAACAAAAAAAGTAAAGAAACCTTCATTCTGAGATTATGAACTTTTTGTTCAAATGTTTCGATGGCTTTCTCTCTGTCTTTTAGAACTTGAAGCTGTGACTGTATAGTGCTACCCTGGAATATTAAAAGAAAATTATTAAACAATCTTTAACTTTTACGAGTGACATTATTTGGATGAAAAAAATAATGAATATGTCCAACTTTTATTTTCAAACTCGATATTTATCAATTGAAGTATTTCTTCTCCACTAAATGATTGATTAAATTAATTCAGTATTGATTTTATTTTACCTGCGCTATAATGATCTTCATTAGTTGTTGAATACTTTCTTTATTTGAACTTTTCTCCTCATACAGTCTTCTACAACAGGGGGAAATATATATACTTTATATATATAATGTTTATAGATGTTTAAAGTTTAAATAAGATATTTGAACTCACGGATATCTCAATCATTGTTTCTCTTTGGTATAAGGTACAGGGTTACCCTTAAAAGATAAGACTTCAGAGATTGCACGGAGTTTTTTTTCTTAGGTTCATGGTTTTCTGCCGAACCATTTGATATATCATTAACAGACAGTCTCCATGGCAGTAACATATTTGTTCACCCTCCAGTTCGCTATATTTAATAGTTTTAGGTCGTCATCGAAGCCTCATTCTTTGTGGGTAACCCTGTAGTTTAGTGAATCATTTAAGGCACTCTAATTACAATAAGGTTAATTTTCCCGATTAGATTGTGGGAAGAAAAATTATCATTAAACAACATTAAATTCTTGTTTTAAACCAATAGTTCAATATTGAAGCAAATATTTTTTATGAAATGTGCGTTGTTGAGTCTTATTTAATCATTGATAGTATTTACAATATACATACAAATACATATATTCAACTAGAAGTAAGACTTGAATACATATTTGTAGATTACAATCCTTTCAGCTTGCAATTCATCCATTTATTCATTCATTAATCCTTTCTTACTTTGATGCGCCCATCCGCTGGAAAATATTCCAGGCCAATAGTTTTATGAGACTTTAAATTCTTTTTGAGGTTGCACTATGTGCAATAAAAAATTTATGTTTGTTTGAATATATCGACGTGCAAGCACTTTAAATTGCATTAAATGAGGCTGCAAATGCATTCTTGATATTTACAATGATTCGTTATATGTAAAATGCGTATGGGTGCGTTCAATTCATCTCACATGGACGCAAAGGCGCAAACATTATGTTAATGGACGGATGGACGCATGGGCGCAAGCTGTTTGCATCTAAATTGATCCTTCAATGCATTAAGATAATCTTCAGCATCTCGTATCATTGCGTACAGACAGATCTTGTATTACGCGCTCATTGCGTCATATTCATGTGTGAAGAATTTCAATGCTAAGTGCAAAGGGGAGAATTGGAGAAGGGTAGGCGACGAAAAGGGGAGGGGAGAGGGGTAGAGGGGAAAGAGGGTAGAGGGGAAAAGGGTAGAGGGGAAAGGGGTAGAGGGGAAAGGGGGAAAGGGAAAGGGGGATTGGCGAAGAGGGGAAAGTAAAAGAGAGAGAGAAACAAAGTATGAAACGCTTACCTTGGATGCACAGTATCTATTCGTCTCGTCTCGTTCAGTCGTTTACTGTGTTGTTTTTTCTTCTTCATTTTTAATTCATCCCTTTGCAATATTTTATCCTCTGCTCTTTTCTCTCCTATTCGTTTATTCTCCTCTCCCACATCATCCTCAGAATACTTGTCGGAGCCAAGGAGCACAGACTCGGATCTCTTAACCACCAACCGAACCTGTACAGTAGATATTTAACTAACCGTATATGTACAGTAAATATTTAACTAACCGTACCTGTACAGTAACTATTAAACCAACTGTACCTGTACAGTAAATATTTAACTAACCGTACCTGTACAGTAAATATTAAACCAACTGTACCTGTACAGTAGATATTGAACTAACCGTAACTGTACAGTAAATATTAAACTAACCGTTCATGTTCGATGCGCTCCAATGTACGGAAAATGTCGTCTCCGAAGATAGATTTTCCGTACAAGAGAGCGCATCAAGAGTAACCAGCCTTATTATACATCCTTGATGTAAACTGCTTTGTTCCATGTTCATTGGAATAATATCAAATTATAACTTGAGCCGTCTTTCTATTCTTTCAATTCTTTTTGTTCACTGTTTTCTATTTTAAAATATATTAAACTAACCTCAGTTTTATCCTCTCCCCAGGCCTCCCAAACCTTTAGTATCTTCCGAGAGCATCCCAACCTTAACATGAATAAAAAAATAGGGTTTTATTCTTCACATTATTCTTGTATAATTTCTTTTTTTATATGTAGAAAACTTACCGTCTCTCAATTTTTCTCCATTTTTCAATAACAATGAATTCCGCAGGGTTTAAACTGATATTTTGGGACTTGAACAGTGCTCTGACAACCTAAACAAAACAAAACGATCAAAAATCTGATTAAAACCTGAACTGTAATCTTTTAATTAAAGGGGTTACAACCCTGACTTAAGAATAAAATTATATGATAACAAAAATTCAAAACGCTAAATTCGCACTCGCTGTGCTCGTTACACGACAGTTTTTTCAATTCTTGGTTTTATTCAAAATACTAATAGTTTTTTCTGTCATTATTTTTGAGATAAGGCTTTGATTAAAGATTGAAGTATTGAAGGCTTTCATCGCAAAATTTTCAATTCCAGCTAATTTATTTTCTTTTATTTTCAACGTTACGCTTGGACAGTGAGCGGTGTAATTATATACAAAATAGTTAACGAGAATCTCAAATATTACAAGTTTATTGTCCAATACAATATTTGAATACCCATTGTTTTTATTCTAATGGATCTAGTTTCAAAACAGCTGGCACTGTTCAACAATAAAAACTAATAATTCAAAAACAACAGAACAAAACAAAATTTAAGTTTCAACAAAAACAGAAAGAAAAAGCACACAAGGAGAAAAAATTAAAAGAAAGAAAATTAGAAATAAAACGTGAAAAAATTGATAATAAATAAATAAGTAATTAATTACCTCTTGACAGCTAGTGTTTTTATTAATCCCGGAGACCCACTTGAGTTGGCCGAACAACCAGAAGGGGATTTCCGCTAAATCCGACATATTGTCCGCTTTTTCCACTAATCCCCTTATCATTTCATTCTTCAGAGAGATTACAGGCTGTCAGTTTTTCCCGACCCGCCCTAGCTTTTCAGTTGCTGTTAATTGCTGGTAGAGCAGGACTTGTCAGTTTTTTAGTTTCTGCATCTTATCCTTCTTCTCCAGGGTTGCTTCTAGATCAGGGAGATCAGACCTTCTTCTCCAAGGGTACTTCTAGATCAGGGAAATAAGTCTTCCTACTGAAGGATACTTTTAGATCAGGGAGATCAGTCCTACTTCTCACTGGTACTTCTAGATCAGGGAAATAAGTCCTTCTTCTCCAGGGGTACTTCTAGATCAGGGAGAATCAGTCCTACTTCTCAGGGTACACCTAGAACATGGAAGTCAGTTAGCATCAGAATTCTATACGATTTGAAAATATGGGTCAAAAGTTTTTTTTCCAAAAAAAGATTATAAGTTACTTTTTTGTTTTTACTGTTTTACAGCTATATATCTATATGCTAATTGACAGATAAACAGTTAGACAGACGGATAGACTAAGAGACGGAGAGATAGCCAAAGGAATATTGAGTCTTAGCCACAAACTCAATTTTTTAATCCCTATATCTTTGCAACCTGATGGTGTAAACATTTGATATTTCAAACTTATATTATTAGATCTATCAGGATTCAGAGTTTGAAATATCTAAAGTCTATGACATTGGATTGCAATGATACAGAGTTTGTGGCAAAGACTCAAATCCTTTACAAAAGAACAGTTAAACAGGCAGAGGAACATACAGACAGTCGGCCAGACAGATTAAAATGCACTCAGATATATAGACGTATATTCACGAACGGACAGATAGACAGACAGATTAACATTCACAAAGATATTCTGACATATACTAACAAAGGGATAGATAGACAGAAATAATAACAGACAAACGGCTGGACAGACAGACTTACAGCCGGGCAGATAGACAGACAGTCTAAACAGTCCGACCTTGGAAGGGAAATCAAGCCTGCTCAGATTCATTTTGATTATGGAGGGAGGGGCGCTTCATTCTACTCTCAGTATTGTAGGGACGGTTGTGGGGGGGTCGTGTTTAAGTCTGTGCATGAGTATTGGATATATGTGCATATGAGTTATGGATAGAGAGAGTAAAAGTTCTATAAAGTCTAGAAGCAGAAACTCATCAGAAATTAACAGAAACATAATGAAAGGTATTGGTAGCAAAGTTCTATGATACCCCCCCCCTCTTACGGAGACAGACCTTTTTGGATAACATATTAATTAGTTTTTGCGTATCTGTCTAATGTCAAAGTGTTTTTGCAAATCTTAAAACAAATCTTAAAAGTTCTCTCTCTCTCTTCTTGAAGGACAGGGAATACGCCCAAACTTTGGAGACAGACATCTTACATTAGCTCACGGACCTATTGTTATGCATACTTATTCATTCATTCATTCATCCTTTCATCCTTTAATTCATTCATTCAGTTATTCACCCTGTTATTCATTCTTTTATTCTTCCATCATTTAATCCTTTCGTACTTTACATTTATTAGTTCATTCATTCTTTAATTTTATCCTTTCATTTAGTCATTCAGTTATCCTTCCTTTCATCTTTTCATTCTTTCATCATTTAATCCTTTCCTCCTTTCGTACTTTACTTTTATTAGTTCATTAATTCTTTTATTTTATCCTTTCATTTAGTCATTCAGCTATCCTTCCTTTCATCTTTTCATTCTTTCTCATCCTTTCATCCTTTCATACTTTTATTAGTGCATTCATTTAAATTTCGATTACTATTAGAAACTTAATGATATGTATATATTCCTGTCTAACAATCTATCTATCAATCCCTATTTATCCTAGCCGGGTGTGCTGTGAATTTGCATCTGCGAATAAAATGCAAAAATCACGCTTCTTCAATTTATTTTCTCATACCTAAAGGGCGTCAAAGATTTGCTACCGAAACATTGCACGGCGTGCACGCATAAGCTTTATGAAATCATTACGCGGCATTTTTTTCATCTTTTATAATTTAACATCTGGGTGGGTAATCTGAAAAGAAATTATTTTACCCTGAAGAAGCGCATTCAAAACTTGCGGGGTCGAGAGAAATCTGTTTACAACCGTGGTTCATTTTTCAGTCCCATATTTCTTTACATCTGTTCTCTGCGTGAAAACTATTTGAATTGGTTCTACTCTATTCTTGTTCTTAACAAGGATATTGTTACTTTTCACTTGTCTAAGTATTCTACAATACCCTGCTACAAACGGGACTGAATAAATAGATCCAAAAATAATTACAATAAGTAAAAAGCTAAGAAAAAATATTTTCTAGGTTAAATGCTGTTTACTTTCTCACTTTCAAGTTCGATCAATAGTATTTTTAGCATCGTCAGTCCCTGCTTTTCTAGGACACCCAATCTAAAGATTTAACTTCCTCCTTCTCTTCATTTTTTTCTTTCTTAAAGACTTGAAACCCCGGGACCCCAGGCATTCATTATTCGAGCAGGGTTGTATTGACACATAATAAATCACAGGGGAAACTAGAATTGGTTCAGGGTTTCATCAGGATGCTAGCTCAGGATATCTCAGGGTTTCATCAGGATTCTATCTCAGGATATCTCAGGATTACATCAGGTTGCTAGCTCAGGATATCTCAGGGTTTCATCAGGACTCTAGCTCAGGATATCTCAGGGTTTAATAAGGATACTAGCTCAGGATATCTCAGGGACTAGCTCAAGATAGCTCAGGGTTTCATCAGGATTCTAGCTCAGGATAGCTCAGGGTTTCATCAGGATACTAGATCAGGATTTCTCAGGGTTTCATCAGGATTTTATCTCAGGATATCTCAGGGTTTCATCAGGATACTATCTCAGGATATCTCAGGGTTTCATCAGGATTCTAGCTCAGGATATCTCAGGGTTTCATCAGGGTACTAGCTCAGGATATCTCAGGGACTAGCTCAAGATAGCTCAGGGTTTCATCAGGATTCTAGCTCAGGCTATCCCAGGGTTTCATCAGGATACTAGCTCAGAATAGCTTAGGGTTTATCAGGATGCTAGCTCAGGATGTCTCAGGGTTTCATCAGGATACTAGTTCAGGATATCTCAGGGTTTTATCGGGAAGCTAGCTCAGGATATCTCAGGGATTTATCAGGATGCTAGCTTAGGATACTTTGGGGGTTTATTCGGTTTCTGAATTTGAGTTTCATCAGATTGCTAGATTCTAACACTTTAGTACTTGGTTCAAAATGGTTTAAAGTAGCTCAATGTGGTTAAGAATGGACTTAAAAGAGTTTAAAGAGGTATGGTATGAGATGGCACACAGTTTGATTTATATTGACTGAGAATGGTTTAAGACTTTTTTGCCACAATACAGTTACAGACCGTTTCCTATAAAATCATATTTGAATATAAGAAAATATAAGAAGTCAGAACACAATAAAACAGAATTGAATAGAATATAGAATAGAATAGATTGGATGCTATTTCCCCGGTGCTTTTCATCTAATTTTATTCAAATCTCTGTCAAGTCAAAAAGTAAACGTTTTTTGCCCAACCTGACGTTAGTGTTTGACGATGCGAAATTAATCTCGTTTTTAAACAAATTCAACCTCAGCTTGTGGCTTCGGAAGAATTTAAATCAAATTATTTCTGGAATCTTCAAATATATCTAATTGTCTAACAATGCAAGGAGGAGGGGGTAGGGGGTATTTTAGATTTGTATTTTTCGCATTTCTACATCAGACGTTTTAAATTTAAATCCTATAATTGATCCCACGGTTCTATGAAGAAAGCTGAGGGTAAGCCTGAAGTATAATCTTTAGGAGAAAATTCCAAATAGTGGAGGCTCTTAATATCAAAATGTATTTTAGGTAATCTTTCCATATTCGATATCTATCTATCTTTTTTTCTATCCATCTATCTATCGATCTTTCTTTTTATATATTTCTAACAATCAATCTATCAAACTGATCTATCTTACGTAATCAGCCATCAAATTTGTATTCAAAGATTTGACACAGCTTACTCAACCTGCAACTCACAAGGTTTCCTTGTTTACATCTTATTTCAAATACATTTACACTATACGCACCCTCAACGAAGCTTTCGGTGCGTTTTGCAGTAAATTGCAGTACAATGAACGAAAAAGTAGCAGCGTTTAGTGAAGATTGTACGTAGATTTACAATCTATGTACAATCTTAAAGGGATTGTACGTAGATTTACAATCTATGTACAATCTTAAAGGGACTGTACGTAGATTTACAATCTATGTACAATCTTAAAGGGACTGTACGTAGATTTACAATCTATGTACAATCCTAAAGGGACTGTACGTAGATTTACAATCTATGTACAATCTTAAAGGGACTGTACGTAGATTTACAATCTATGTACAATCCTAAAGGGATTGTACGTAGATTTACAATCTATGTACAATCTTAAAGGGACTGTAAGTTTATTCTAAAGTTACCCTCCATGCAAAGATGTTAACGCCTGGTCCAAAAAGGTACCATTCAAATCTTTAGATGTCAATGTTTATATAATTTTGAAAACGGATTTTTTAAAGTGTGGTTTCTCAACAAAAGTGAATTGCGCATTTCTACTGCGGGAAAGCAGAGCGTAATTATCAGAATTAAGCACTTTTCATGCTTAACATGTCGAAGCTTAAAAGTTGCCTCAAGTAATTTGAAATAGTTTCTTTGTACTGCAAAATCATATTCTATATAAGTTTAATATCTTTATACGTTTTATCTATATACAATCTTCATGTATCTGTATATCTATATTTTCTGTTATATCATCGCATTATTTCATCTATATCTGTCTATCCAAGGCTGTTTGCACCCAATAACTGTCAATCAAATGTTGAAATAATAAATTGGTTGAGTAGAATAAACTGCAGCTTTGTAAGGGGGTATATTTTAGGTATATCAGATTATATTATTATATTAGGTACTAGATGAAGGGGTATATTTCAGGTATATCATTATATTAGGTACTAGATGAAGGGGGTATATTTCAGGTATATCAAGTATATCAGGTATATCGTTATATTAGGTACTAGATGAAGGGGGTATATCAAGTATATCAGGTTATATCATTACTAGCTGAAGGGCCCACGTTGACCGTGGAAAAAAATAAAAAAATCTAAAAATAATTTTTTAAAAAATTTAGTTTTTAATTCGATTTTTTTTAGCCTTTGTCACTCCCAGGCTACCCATGAGTGTCAACAAAAAATTTCAGCCCATTCGGTCCAGTCGTTTGGCATGCCATAGGGAACATATATATAAGAATGTCTTGTTTTATTATATAGATATCAGGTATATCAGGTATCTATCTATCTATCTATCTATCTATCTATCTATCTATCTATCTATACCGGAGGCATCTGTATCTAGGCACCCCTTCCACCTGCCTAATTACTGCTTGGCTAATTTTCACATTGATGGTTGAAAGCTTATTTTGAAAATGAAAACATTTTCTGGTTTTCAAAGTTCTTGTGATGTATGGTTACAATAAAAAATATTCAATGTTTATATTTCTGTTTTGTTTTCTTCTTGTTGGATTTATAAAACTTAGTTTTTTATTCTTTAATATCTCGCAACCTCTCTCTTTATTAAAGTTCTTTTAGTTCATTTACAAATTTACTTATTTTAATTTATTTTCTATTTAAACTTAATATTTTTCCAATGTTTTTTTTAGAGTTTACCCTGCCAGTCCCATACCGGCCGTACTTTAGTGTTTTTCTTAAAATATCTTTCGTCTATCTGAACTCATATCAAGTTCCTATTTCTTCATGTTTTACTTCTTCCTACTTAATTCTTACTTAGAGCTTATTTTTCTAAATATAATTTCCGAACAATGTACCACTACTTTTTTATTGGCGCGATATAACCTTAACTATAGGAAGACATTCTATTTACCTCCACTTTTCCTCCTCTGTTTCTCAACTTTTTGTCCACTTTTCCTCCCCTTTCCTCTATTTTTCCTCCACTTTTCCTCCCCCTTTCTTTCAGTATTTTTATATTAATTCACAGTTCTCCGGCTGCACTTGCTTCGGCAGTACATATACAAAAATTGGAACGATACAAAAAAAATAAATTAGAATTATTCTTTATCAGCTGTATCCAAATTATAAAATTTAAAATTCAAAATAATAAATTGTAAAAAAAATAGTTCTCCGGCTAAATGATAATAATTATGAGATACAATTTGAAAGTGTGGCGGGGAAACTATTCTCATCTGTTTCATCCTTCGAACAATCATTTGTCAAGGTTATCTTTCAAATCTTTCGCATCTTCCAATAGTTTCCTTACTCAATCATCTTCCATTAGTTTCCTTTCTCAATCATTTTCCACTAGTTTCCTTACTCAATCATCTTCCAATAGTTTCCTCACTTAATCATCTTCCAATAGTTTCCTTACTAAATCATCTTCCACTAGTTTCATTACTCGATCATGTTCCGCTAGTTTCCTTACTCAATCATCTTCCAATAGTTTCCTTACTTAATCATCTTCCAATAGCTTCCTTATTTCATCATCTTTCACTGGTTTCCTTTCTCAATCATGTTCCACTAGCTTCCTTACTCAATCATCTTCCAATATTTTCATTACTCGATCATCTTCCACTAGTTTCCTTACTCAATCATATTCCACTAGTTTCCTTAATCAATCATCTTCCACTAGTTTCATTACTTAATCATCTTCCACTAGTTTCCTTACTCAATCATCTTCCACTAGTTTCATTACTCGATCATCTTCCAGTGGTTTCCTTATTAAATCATCTTCCACTAGTTTCCTTACTAAATCGTCTTCCACTAGTTTCCTTACTAAATCATCTTCCACTAGTTTCATTACTCGATCATCTTCCACTAGTTTCCTTTCTAATACTATTCCCTTTTCCTGTCCACTTCTTAGTCCTGTCCTTTTCTCCATCCTATTTCCTTGTCCTTGTATTTCAAACTGAATTAGTGCAAGAAGATTATGACGGATTTGGGTTGAAACCCTCTTAAAGGGATTGTAATCAAATTATAATGAGTATCTATAAAATTAAAATTCTATCTAGTAACCACTAAGTTCCCCCTTTTCTATGATATGTCCTTCTTTTTAACCGCTTCCGACCACTTGTCCCATGTAAATCAATTTAATTATATTGTCTTTGAAAAATGCGGATACATACCGAAATGTTTTGAAATATGTTAAAATATTCAGACAATCTAGTTTGTATTCAAGATATTTATTCCATCCTTGGACTCCGCACTAAAAGTAAACATTTGATTTGATGTGTACAATTGTTTACGTATAAAAATCTTTGAACAAACTTACATTAATCTAAAAAATTTTTATGTTTTTTTTCATTCCAAAAAAATACAATTTTGCCTTCACAGAATATTTTTTTTTCTTCTCAGTAAAAAAAGATTTTGGTTTACCTTTTTATAGTAGAGTCCATTTAGAAAGCAATCCACATAAATTCTGTCACTTTACCATTGTTTTTCTTCTTATACAATCTAACTTTTAATTTTAACTTTTGTAGTTTCTTGTGGTAACAAGAGAAAATCACTTTGGTAAAATATCCATCTATCTTTAATAGTGAGTTGATCTGATATATATAGATGTAGGTTCAACTACGCAGAGGTGTGACGAGGGTGAGGGTCGGAACCCAACTGAAGAGTGAAGAACAAGAAATATAGATTGTATAAGACGGGGACCTGACTTGGGGAACCCAGTACCACACTTACTAACAATCAGTAACACACTTACTAACAATCAACACCACACTTACTAACAATCAGTAACACACTTACTAACAATCAACACCACACTTACTAACAATCAGTTACTCACTTACTAACAATCAGTTACTCATTTACTAACAATCAGAACAAAACTTACTAATGCACAGAATTACTAAACCTTATTTACACTACCTAACCCAACCAAACATACCAAAACATTTTCACGAACACGTAAATCGAAATCCTAGAGTATTAAACCCTGTTTCAATTACGGGAAAAAACTTTCAAGATATCGGTAAAATATATAGATTTAAACTTGTTGGTAGTAAACCATAATTTTCTAATCAATTACATTTAATATCTTTGATTTGAATCTAAACAAGAAAATTGTTTCCAAAATAAGCTTTAAAAATTCTCAACATGAAGTTATTCTTTTGAAAGTGCATTGTGTAACTCTAAGCATGAAACTTGTATACTGACACACCTTGATAGATGAGGAGAGGATCAAACTATAATCTCAAGAAAATTTGGTGACACCCAGCATTATCATTTCTTATCCAGGGACAAATTGTTTTTATATTGCAGGCCAAACCTTAGATATACTTTAGGTTTAGATTTAGGTTTAGGTCTCGTTATAGGTTTAGTTTAGGTTTAAGTTTAGGTTAAGGTTTAGGTTTAGGTTTCAGGATACGTTAAAGTTTAGGTTTAGGTTTAGGGTTAGGTTTAGAATTATGTTTAGGTTCAGGATTAGAGTTAGGAAAGTTTAGGTTTAGGTTTAGGTTTAGGATTAGATTTAGGTTTAGGATTAGATTTAGATTTAGGTTAAGGGTTAGGTTTATGTTCAGAATGGAACCGACTGGATGCGTTATGAACGGCTTTAAATTCAATAGTTTTGATCTCAGGAATGTTAAACATCTAACCTTGCATTCTATAAAGATCCAGGTATTTGTTGCATACTTACCTTCCCTCAGAATATATCGATAAGCTAGCAAGGCTAAAAGCTCTCTAAGTTTTTGTGCCCCTTAATTATACATATAAAAAGCCTGGCATCTAAGTGCCCCCATCCCCCCATTAAACCCGCTACTTGATTTCCGCAACTTTTTGCGGATTTTTGTTGGTAATTAGTGGTAATAATAGCAGGGTAATTAGTCACGAGTAAATGTAAGTAATTCAAGTGATTAGTATAAATACCTAGCGTATAGTAAATAGAGCAAATAAGATTAGTTTAAATCAAGTCATTCTCACAGTCACCCTGCTTAGTCATTTATAGGAATTAGTGGGGAGTACACGTAGTATAGGGAGTATAGGGAGTACATTGAGTACATTGAGTACAGGGAGTACAGGGAGTACAGGGAGTACAGGGAGTACACGTAGTATAGGGAGTACAGGGAGTACAGGGAGTATAGGTAGTACAGGGAGCAAAGGGAGTACACGTAATATAGGGAGTACAGGGAGTACATGAAGTACAGGGAGTATAGGGATTACAGGGAGTACAGGGAGTATACGTAGTATAGGGAGTACATGGAGTACACGGAGTACACGTAGTATAGGGAGTACAGGGAGCAGATGGAGTACACGTAGTAAAGGGAGTACACGGAGTACACGTAGTATAGGGAGTACAGGGAGTACAGGGAGTGCATGAAGTACAGTGAGTACAGGGGGTACACGGAGTACAGGGAGTATAGGGATTACAGGGAGTACAGGGAGTATACGTAGTATAGGGAGTACAGGGAGTACATGGAGTACAGGGAGTACATGGAGTACACGGAGTACACGTAGTATAGGGAGTACAGGGAGCAGATGGAGTACACGTAGTAAAGGGAGTACACGGAGTACACGTAGTATAGGGACTACAGGGAGTACAGGGAGTGCATGGAGTACAGTGAGTACAGTGGGTACACGGAGTACAGGGAGTACACGGAGTGCAGGGAGTACACGTAGTATTGGGAGTACATGAAGCACATGGAGTACACGTAGTATAGGGAACACAGGGAGTACATGGAGTACATGGAGTACAGGGAGTACACGGAGTACAGGGAATACATTGAGTACAGGGAGTACAAGGTGTACAGGGAGTAAACGAAGTAGTGGAAGCACATGGAGTACAGGGAGTACATGGAGTGCAGGGAGCACACGTAGTATAGGGAACACATGTAGTACATGGAGCACATGGAGTACAGGGAGTACATGGAGTATAGGGAGTACACGTAGTACAGAGAGTACACGTAGTATAGGGAGTACAGGGAGTATACGTATCATAGGGAGTACACGTAGTACAGGGAGTACACGTAGTACAGGGAGTACAGGGAGTAAATGGAGTACACGTAGTACACGTAGTATTGGGAGTACACGTAGTATAGGGAGTACACGTAGTATAGGGAGTACAGGGAGTACACGTAGTAAAAGGAGTGCAGGGAGTACAGAGAATACAAGGATTGCAGGAAGTACAGTTGGTACAGGAAGTACAGAGAGTACAGAGAGTACGAGGGAAATAGGGAGTACACGGAGTACATGAAGTACAGAGAGTGCCGAGAGTACGAGGGATACAGGGAGTTAAGGAATACAGAGAGTACAGGAAGAACAGTAACTACACGATTTTCTAATGTAAATTATTTATATTTGTTTTAGCAATGTTTATAAAATGTATACTAATGTTTCAATAACTTATTTATCTTGTATGGTATATATATATAAGAATTTATTGTATCTTTATGCTGCGGCTAAATTAAATAGACGTGGTCTAAAACCTTACTATTGTTGTTCTAGCAAAAATAATTGAAGGTGGACCCCGTATTAACTGTAAAGATTGTATCTAGATTATAATGTATCTGTATCCACCAACTGTACACCTAAAGGGTGTACCAAGAAATATCTGCTCACAGTAGAACAGCTACACAGCTATTCACAGTAGAAAAGCAACACGACTGCTCCAGTAGAACTGCTTCACAGCGCTCACAGTCATACATCTTTAAAAGAAATGGCAATATTAAATTGTGTTTTCTCAATGAAAGTAACTTGCGGATTTCTTGCTACAGAAACAATGGAGAAAAACAATAATTTTTAATCTAGAAAAATGATGATATCTTCCGCTTTATTAATCAGATAAAGTTTTTGCTGTTTTTAAATGAAATTCCCTTTAAAAAGCATGAACAGAAAAAGAGGTTTAGAATTATATTTGGAACGAAATTTAAAGATTGTTAAAGAGCAATCAACAATTTTATTTTATGTCACAGAAAATGTGTAAAAACTTTTGTACACCCTTGTCATGTCCTTCTATTCTGTCCACCTTTATATCTATATAAGAGTTTAGTATAATACCCCCGCCCCTGTCTTAGATTGATGAGATCTATATCTTTTTATTGTTCAATTTCTAAATAAACTTTTATTTGGTTTAATCAGATCTCTAGAGATATACTTGAACACAGTAGTTTCTCTCACCAAATAGATAGATAGATAGATAGATAGATAGATAGATAGATAGATAGATAGATAGATAGATAGATAGATAGATAGATAGATAGATAGATAGATTAATTTGAGTTAATAATAATATTTCGACTTTCCCCCTTTTAAATAACCGAAGAACAAAAATGCAACAACAAATTGTGACGATTACAAAAAGCCTCATTTCTCCTGATTTTTTCTTTATTTCCATTTTCCGACGATCCAGTATTGCCATTTATTCATATATTCTTATCTCCATTTTTCTATCTACCAAAATCCTTCCATCCTTCCATCCTTTACTAGATCTTATATTTATCCTTCCATTCTTCCATCCTTTACTAGATCTTGAATTCACCCTTTCATCCTTTCATTCTTTACTAGATCTTATGTTCACCCTTTCATCCTTCCATCCTTTACTCGATCTTATATTCATCCTTCCATCCTTTATTAGATCTTATAATCATCCTTTCATCCTTAACTAGATCTTGTATTCATCCTTCCATCCTTCCATCCTTTACTAGATCTTATATTCATCCTTCCATCCTTCCTTCCATCCTTTAATAGATTTTATATTCATCCTTTCATTCTTCCATCCTTTCAACCATCCAGTTATTAATTTATTCGGTTATCCTTTATGCCTAACTACCCCCCAACCCTGAGTAAAGGTAACCTTGAACCTTCTCAAATATAGAGAAAAACAGATGAACTCCTCTGTTCCTCTCGTCTTATCACAGACGATGTAAAAATTCTAAGGAGATAAAATCTGTCAAAAATTTTAAAAAAAATCTTATACTTTTATTTTTTATTCCCAAAAAGCTGAAATTTAGAAAATCCTAATTTTAAGAATATTTTGTTCTCTGTTCTTATATTTCGAGGATTTAGTTTCTTTAGGAGCAGAACTAGATTGAGTTTAAATCAAGCTAAAGCACAAACAATTAAAATTTACTTTGATGTGGCTGGGGGGGGGGGGGGGGGGGGGGGGGGGAGCAGGTGGGGGTCAAGATAGCTGGTTGAAACCGTCTCTGTTTTTGCGCACTTTTTAATCAAGAATATGAACTTGAAAAAATTTACTTAAGGATGAATTTATAGAATTATTAAATAGAGCGGAGGGCTGGGGGAGGGGGTGGGGGGTGGCACTGACAGCTAAGTAATGGAATGTGAAAACTATAAGCCACTATGTAAGGAAAAGCTGTGGGTTCCAAATATATACAAATTTTGTCTTAGTAGTGATATTTTTATTTTTCTACATTACTACACCCATTTTCATAAAGAATTCAATATATATTTATGAAGATCTAAAACCTGACGAAAAAATAATGATTTCTTAAGAATTCAAATTTGATCAAAATGATTTTTCATTTAATTCTATAATTCATAATATTCACCCGTCATTCTCTGAGACGATAGATTGAAATATATATTCTATATATCCACTTGAACTCGATAGATGGGATAGATATATAGACAAAATAG